AGATCAGTGGTTTCTGTCTGGAAACATTAGATATGGAGCATAGAAAATGTATGAGCATTTCATAATATCACCCAACAAATTAGTATGTTATCAGGGTGGGGAGGTACAAACCAACAGGTAAGTGGCAGTTTCTTTTGCTTCATATGTTTTTGTCATTTTCATGACCCTTCTGACAGTGGTATAACTATGCATTTTCTAGCAAATCATCGATTAGCATATGCAAAATAGGGCATTTGGCAAGAGCAAATGATGAAGGAGGGCCCAGGGTACTATGTAAAGCTATCTTCAAATAACCATTATACTGTATGTACATTCTTTTGAAATATTCAGTCCATAGGCAAGGAAGCATCCCTACTTTATACCAATCCCTGAATAAATTTGGCGCATTGCATGCAGATAAATCCACAAAAGTTATTAACCAACTTACATCTCTCTGGCTTAGCCATCCAGCTATTTCCTTCTGCTGAATCAATAATCCCAGCCAATGGTTCTCAACCTGTAGTCCACAGACCTCTGGAGGGAACTGCAGTGTCATCACAGAGGGTCCACAAAGGCTTGAAGAAATGTTATGGTTTAAGTTTTGAGTTAAGTCTTGGGGATTCGTGCCCATGGTATTTAAAGGGAATCTGTGGTGAAGAAAAGGTTGAGAACCACTGAGTGAAGAAAAAAATGTAATGCTTATTTGCCTGGAATTAATTTTTCCTCACCATGGGGAGCCTGTTTAAGGGGACCTGTAATGTGTTCCGATCTACCCACCACACTATAATCATTTGCCAGAGCTGTATTTCATTTAATCTGTGATTTTTCACAGGAGCTTGAGTAGGTTAAGTGATATTTTTCTCCCATTTTAGCACAGTGAGGGTGCACATGATCATGCCAAGGGTGCTACTGGAGGCCTTGTCGTAAGAGAGCACAGATTTCAACCTATTCAAAGGTTATTTGCACTTCCACATTGGCTTTTAGGCACATAAGGAAGGTGATGATCAAGAGAGGAATGTTGTGCAAAGAACCACGGAGTAAGTGTGGAACGAAGGAAGCAGTCCAACCATGTACGGTGCAACTTCTGCACAAATCAGTCCCTTTGAGTTTCGTAGGGCTTTCTCCCAGGTAAGCAACCTAGAGTTGTATCCTGAGTAATGGAGACATGGTGGAGAAATGGCAAGATGTCCAAGGAAGGCAGAACACAGCACCCTACTGAGTGGTACAACTGCCCTGAATGTGGATGTGGATAACCACTCATTGGGTATTTTTTTTCTTTTCAATCCTCAGGAAGAGGCAGCCAGAATTCTCGCCCACCAGCCAATGTCCGTCGGCACATGTGCAGCTTTGAAAAACCCCAAACTGCAGTGAATGTGTAAGAAAAGCTGCATGACAAACAGTGGTGTATTTTTTTTAACCCATTGCTTTCTCTTTCTCATGACTTTCTCATTTCTAATAATGGTGCATGCCATTAATGACAGAAAAGTCGTGTATGTGTCCCATTTTTCACACTGCCTTGACCTGCTTGTCCATATATATTCTTTCAAGGACACTGTCAAATAATTTTTGGAGGAACTTTTTTTTTTTCTTCTGTTTTTCATGGTTGTCACTTCAACATCTTCTGGCTGAATTCCAAAAGGAAAAAAAAATAGTTTACCTGTTCATTTTATCTTTCCCACAATTTATCCCACAGTTTTTCTTGTTTGTGTTTTTTGCATGGAGCTGAACTGGTCTTCTTTGGCGGCTGTCCATTTTCTCTAGCAGTTTCAGCTGCATTCTGGCTGTGTCCAGTTCTTCCTGCCTACTGAGGGCTTCAGAAATACTCAGTCGTAGGCCAAATACAAAAAAATACTCACTGATGAACATGACTTCATGTAGTTTTGGCCATATTGGAATTTTTGGAAGATGAAAAAAAAATGAATCAATGGAACAATAGTAATCATTACTTACTATGTAGTTCTTCTTTCCTACCACATTAAACGTTTTGCAACTAAGCCCATTTTAAAGGTTACAGATAAGAGCTGGGTTAGACCTGTTTATTAAGTAGAACAATGATATAGCAAGAAAAACAACAATTCTTTAAAAAAAAATAGTTGCATGGGGAGCCCACATAGATTATGCCATAAAGGATAAATTTTAAATCATGTTGATGGGATGAATCTGCTTTCCCTAGAAAGTCTAAGGCAGGGGTGTCAAACTGCCAGCCCGCGGGCCGGATGCATCATGGCAAAACCGCGCCCACCCCATTCCCGGCAATGGGAAAAAAAGTCACAATACGTTGCAACATGTCACGTGATGTTGCGAGTTTGACACCCCTGGCCTAAGGGGACAAAGAGCAATAAATTGAACACAGAGAAGAAAGTAAGGCAGGATAACAGAGGGAAAAAATGCTGCTGAAAAAATAAGATTATATGCCAAATATCTAGTATAAGTGGAATTTCAGTGGAAATTTTAAAAATAATTATCAACCGTTCTCAGTATTATATGTCATATAATGTACCCGGTTCATTGGATTCTACTTTGTATATCAGATGACAATGGAAATTATATGACACACAAAACTGAATCCAATGAAATGGGTATATTATTAGTCATCAGCATTGTGGACAAGATTGAAGTCATCATTGAAACTTTTGTTGGGATATAATAATATGAAAAAAAAATTCAGGAACTGGTGAGTTTTGGTCAATATCGATTTAAAATAAAATTCTGAAGATGATGCCAAGGGGGGGGGGGAAGGAGAAATGGAGTAATATAAGTCTGTAATTCTATAAATTCTTGCCTGGGAGTCAGCCCCACTGACCTGAAAGGAACTTGTATGTGTGTGTGTGTGTGTGCGTGCGTGCAGGCACGTATGTATGTATGTCCGTGGGTGTATACTAACATACATAAGTTGTGTTTTAAATGTGTTGTTTTTATATGCATTAACCAGTATTGCTGTTCAACATATTCTGTATTGCAGTGTGTTTTACATTCTATTTTATACGTACATGAAAGTATAAAACCCATTCCCATGGATTTTACAGAGCATCCTTGGCCTGTTTTCTGAACATCAAATACTTTGTTTGAACTAACTCCTTGCCCAGCTAAATTTGGTTCACTTTCTCCTACAGAAAAATTTCCAATAACTCTAATTTATAAATCCTGTACATGAAGCTTTCCACCAAGCTTTCACAACTAAGTAACCCAGTGACACCCATTTAAAAGACTTCAGCCTTACACATGAAAGCAGCTAGAGTCAAATTTCCATCTAAAATGGATTCTGTGCCTTGATTTATTCCTATCTGAGAGTGCCCACATAGGCTTTCATTGAGAAATAACTCAGCTTTAATCCATAAAACTACAGCACTGGATGAAATATAAATTTATCTAGTGCTGCATTTACATTGCCAAACTGTATGTCCATCAGCTACTGAGAAATGTACTGATAACTTCAAAACTATAGGGCATTGCAAAGCAAGTGATTTGCATCAGAAGGTACTAAATAAATACATCCACATAAATCTAATATATAGCATAGGATCATTGCAATATCTACTCTGAGCATCACAGAGCCTGCAACAGAATGTTTCTACTCTCCACATGCTATAAATATTGTTCAGAATAAAATATTTTTCTTCCATGTGACATAGAAAAAAAAATCACCAGAAATACCAGCCTTTTAAAGCTATTTTACAGGACTGTTTGGTTATCCCAGGCTCCCACAGTGTCCAACAACATAACATACCTACAAAAAAAAATCTACTAACTATCTAAAGCTGCCACTGTAATTGATACAGCTGGTAAGCCATCATCACCCCCAAGAAATTCTCAGAGTAGTAGTCTTGCTTAAAGTCCCTGTTGTTTTGATTCTTACTTACTACAGTTCTTTCTTGGTGCCTCCATATCATGAACATAACCTCTTTCTAAATAGTGGGGTTGTCCTAGACTCCTAGAGCAAAGAGACGTTAATATGGTCTACAGTATGTCATCCTTTTAATCTCTTTTCAGCAAGTATTTAAGGTCATTTAAACTTAATAAATATATAACAGACTTATAGGTATTAGTTATGTCTGCATTTGTGTTTTAAAACATTTGTTGTCGTACAGGTTGTGAGACTGATTTTTCATAGTATGAACACAAGTACAACTGTACAAAGTATGCACCATGAGAAAGGTAATCCTCAAACCTCCGTGGCTCCAATGGAGAAAATTCAATAGATGAAGGAGAATATTTCTGTCTGTAATTCCACTCATCCACAAATTGGAGCTAGGAAGTTTTGTACTGCTGTTTTTACCAGACCAGACAAGTTTTTATGTGTTGTGGAAATTGTTGCATGTGAAATGCAAATCAAATGTTACAGACTAAAGATTATATATTATAAAGTTGAGTGCTTTTTAAAGATTGAAGTTGAGTTTCTGCACCATTTGTGGAAACTATGTCTGATGTGCATGTACTTATTTTATGTTTGTTCAGAATCATAGGCTGGCAACAGAGCAGGAGATGGGCATATCCATTTCCCATTCATCCTCCCTTCTCCTCCTTAAATGTAGAGGCTGCTTACTTTTGAAAGACAAGTTGAAGAAAGCTGCTGTTTATAATTAATAATAACAACATTTTACCCCATTCACCCTAACAACATTTAATAAAGAAACAATATGCTTGTTACGGTCACTGCTGTTGATGTTTCTCTGCATTTCCTCCCAGGAAGTGCATAAACTGGGGATAGAGAATCTTGGAATCAGTTTATTTGCTATTCCTTACTACCATTACAGGGAGAGGGAATGAAGATCCACTACTTTATGTGTCTGGTGGCAGCCATGTGTATTCTGCAAGATGTTGCTCTGTCCCCAACATCTGAAACTAACAGGGAATAATTTGCCTTCGTTTACAAAATCTACATTTAGGAACAGTTGCTGTTTCCCACTGTAGTTGCTTCTCGGAGGAACTAATACTGCAGGGATTTTCTAGGATAAATGTGTTGTGGTTGCCTGTGTCTGCCTACGGAAATGTAAATAAACACATCTTTATTTTATTTCTAGTTCTAATGGCAAGTCTGTGTCATGGTCTGAACCAGGTGGAAGAGAAATTCCCAAGGGACAACATATGTGGCACAGGCTCTCAGTGCATGTGAAGAATAAGGAGCTAGGATGCAATCAGACAGCAGTGATCAAGCCCCTAACTAAAAGTTATCCAGGTCCAAGCAAGAGCCTCACTTTTTCGGACATCAGCAGTAAGACTTTGTACAATGTTGTGGAGGAGGAAGGAAGTGAGTCAGTGCACTTCAGCCAAATGAGTAGTCCTTCCATGGTTGTACACAGAAGAGTGATGGTGATGCCTCCACTACAGGCAGCAGCAGAGGACATACAGAGTCCCAAAGTCTTGCCACCCCCACCACCGCCTCCACCACCGCGATCCATTATGGACCAGCTGCAGGGTGTGGTCAACAAATTTGCCACTGGCATCCCTGATTTCAATGCGGTAATGCCCGTGTCTGGTGCAGGAAATGGACTGAGGCCCATATATCATCCTCCAGCAATGCAGCCACAGATATTGCCACTACAAATGGGCACTTTCATTAAAGAGCCGGTTTCACTCCCATCTGAAGAAGAAGAGGAGGAGGAGGAAGAAGAGGAGGAGGAGGAAGAAGAAGAAAATGAAAAGTTTAAGCTTATCCAAGATTATGTGTATGAGAGGCCAGGAAATTTAGGGGAGGAGGAAGAGGAAGAAGAGGAGCAGGCCACCAGCAAACTGACTCTAGAAGATTCACCAGCACTGACACCTCCATCTCCTTTTCGAGATTCAGTGGCTTCAGGCAGTTCTGTGCCCAGTTCTCCTGTGTCCGAATCAGTGCTTTGCATACCTCCCAATGCAACTTACACCTCCGTTGTTTTGAGGGATTACAAGCAAAGCTCATCCACTTTGTAGAACAGAAGCTGCTCTGGTGAAAGCAAGTAGATTATGTCTTCTCTCTGAGCTTTAATTGGACAGGGAGAAATAGCACAAGCCCCCTGGGGCAAGTGAAGGCCAATGAGCATGGTGTATAGGGTGGGGCAAAAAATTATATCCTGCACTAAATCCATTAGAGGGCTCCAGTTCTTTACCTGTTGTGTGTGTAGTTTTGTTTTGTTTTGTTTTTTAAAAAAAGGAAATTATTGTGTTCAAGAGTAGTGTGTTCTGAGAAGATCATTGGAATTCTGACAAAGCACAAATCCCATATACAACTTCTATAGCAAAAAAGAAAGTGTAACAGTAACACACAGTGTTCTTCAACACACAGTCACATCATATACTCTCTTGACAACACTTGAATATGACTCTGCATGCTAAAGTTAGAGGAGAACCGTGTTGTGTCTCCAGGATGTGAACCACCATTGAATGCAGCAGACTGTACTGTAATGCAGCAACATTTGCCTGAAAGGAGAAAATATATTTTGCTAAACCTTTTTTAGGTGGAAACATAGTAAGAAATTTCCTGAAATTTATGTTGGGGATGCCACGTAGCATGTTAGCATATACTGTAGCTCATGAAGAACGTTTAGAAAAACTGATTTAGCGTTCCCCCCTCCCCTTGTATACTAATTTGGAGTGAAGCATAAGAAAGTTATAGAAAAATGTATTGATACAATCAAGTCCAAAATCCCTGCAGTTTTGAAATATTTGATTTGCCATTGTGGTAGAAGACTGCAAGCCAGGTGACTGTACTGTTAACACTACATTCCCTGTAGCAAAACAATATTTATTGACTCAACTTTAATAATCCAATGAGATTGCCATGTAATTACATTATTTGTTTGTGTTACTATGGAAACAACTACATATAAAATAATTATATATTTTCAGCAACAATTACTACTTTAAGCAAAAACTTGTTCTTAATAGCAGTTCATTAGATTCATAGTAGATGCAAGGGAATGAATGTTTCTGTCTTTGTGTGTGTGTGTGTGCATATGTTTGTGTATCTATGTAACTGTATACAACATGTGATGTGTAACATCTAATAACTGCCACTGGAGGATTGTCCTAGAAATATACTATGAATATTTTTATGTATCAACCATGTTTTATATTGCATTATTTAAAAATATATTATAAACCTTTGAAGATTTGTATATTGTGCTGAAACATTTTTAAAGAGCTAAGCTGCCCCTTATAACAGGGTGTTTGATTTTGCTGATATATTTGCCATGTGGAATTATGCTGTTGAAAATAATCAGTGCTCCAATAAGTTGTTATTTCATGTGATTTAAGGAAATGTGATTAATAAAGAATGCATTTCTTTTGGAAATTTTGCACATGGCAGTATTAAACCTTAAACAGAACCTTCAGAAAAATATTTAAACCTTGTTTAGCTTCCTATGGAAAAGTAAAATTTATATTTTCCCATAGTAAATACATACATATTTCTTTCCTGCTTTAGCAAAACCCATGTTCCTGACACCATCCTCTATTGTTATTTTTCTACTTCTGCTCTGTAGATTTCCTCCAGTTTCAGGATATTCCCCTACCTTCTCCAGATTTATTTTCTAATAATAATGATGCTTTGATTAGATTTGTGCCCACTGTTTCTTTCTTCTCTTCTTTCTTAGTTTTGTCATCTAAGAAAAGTAGAGTTAAACTGAAATCAGAATCCAGACGCAGGGAGAATTTGGAAAACCATAAAGTTGCACTTAGGTGAATCTGAGTAGAAGGATAATTGCAAGATAAATGTTTCTTCTTTTCTGTTATATATCCTTCTAAAAATAATCCCTATGGACACCAGTGTTGCAATAATCAGACTTGTAAAATTCTACTATTATAGCCAGTCTCAATAAGTTTTGGCCTTCCTGTAGGATTGATTCTTGATCTGGTCTACCTAGTGGGGCTGACACCAATCTTGCAAGTCTAAGTCTTATATTTGATCCTCATTTTTATAGTTCAGTGAATTAGGAAGTATCTGAGATTTCCAAACATTTGCTGGACCTTCATCAAAGTAATCTTTTTTAGTCTCTACACATATTGCTCTGACTTGCTTTTTTAGGACTTACTCCATTCCCCTAGTAGAACCTCAACTGTTCCTCGTGTATCTTTCTGAAGCACCCTAAACCTCAGGAGCAATCATTCCTGTAATCTAAAGACAGCTTTGCAGCAATGGCTTTATGCCTGGAAAAAAAATCTGGAAAATATCTGAGGCAGATATAAAATTGACTCAGAGGTACACTAGCAGGAATCAAGCTGTGTATGTCTCTCAAACATACAGTAACTTACTCTTTAAGTTATCTAAAGCTTCTGTGTCTCTCCACACCAAAGTTGCACACAAGTTCCTTTTTTCAGAGAGGGCAAAAGGTTCTTGGAAAAATATATTCCATCAAAAGCAAGTGGATTTTTCATGTTTGTAATGGTTGTGAGAATTTGATTTACTGCCCAACTACTATGGGATACTTTATAGCTTACTGTAAAAAACTTGATCATAAAATATAATGCTGTACATGAAAAAAAAACATAATAATCAAAGCCAATTCAAAGATAAGACATTTACCTTATTTGCATTTATATCACATATCTTAAGTTACAACTCCAATATTCCAGAAATGGTACTTTACGCATAAGAGAAGCAATTTATATAGTCTTTTGTCATGCAATTCAATAAAAATCAATTCAAAAATAGGTGAAGACAACAAGGCAGCTTTGACCACACATTAATTAACATTTTCACATTTACTGAACTAAGTTCATTTTTATTCTGAAATTTAGCAACTAATTATAAATGGGCAAGAACCAAGGTTATGCAAGCAAATATGCAACAGAATTTTCAATTCTGCCTCTCCTATGGAGCCCCATATCGTTCTAAATTGTATCCCATAAGACAGTGATGGCAAACCTTTTAGAGACCGAGTACCCAAACTGCAACCCAAAACCTACGTATTTATTGCTGGGTGCCAGGTGGGCGTGGCCCACTGGATGGGCATGGCTGTGGTGGTCATGGCAGATTGGGTGGGTGTGGCCAAGGTGGGCGTGATCACCTTGATGTTGCTCGTGGGGAGGGATGCCTGTGGGGGCCGGGCAGGGTTTGGGGGAGATCCAGGGGGTTTCTGGCAGGTGGGGCGGTGGGCAGGAGGCTCGTCCTGCGGAGTGAGGCGAGGCAAGGAGGGGGTGCCATTGTCACAGGGCAAGGTGAGATGGGCCGGGGTGGCTGCTGCCTGACACCATCAGCCCCTGCACACAGAGGCCAGCGAGCGCATGGGTGCTGGGATGCATCTGGCCATGTGGGACCTCAGCGAGTTAGCAGGTGGCTGGTTGAAGTTGGACGGTTGCCATCTCCGGGGCATGGCGCGTGTGCCCACAGAGAGGGCTCTAAGTGCCGCCTCTGGCACGCCTGCCATAGGTTCGCCACCACTGCCATAAGATCTCCAAATTTTCTGAAGCACAGTGTGCTAGACAAAGTGAAGTACAGTGCAAGACATTAGGAATACAGAGGAACATTCCATTAATATTGGCTACATTAGCTAAATTATGTGAATTTCAGTACCCACTGCATGCATACATATATACATGCATGCATGCATACATACATACATACATACATACATACATACATAGTTATTCTGGAAGCAAACCAAATCAGCTACCAAAATTGTTGGAATTTCATTTGAGAGCTCAACAATCTTGGTGAAAAAGAGAACATTCTAGATGTCTTGTCAAAAGATTTCTGTGATTTTTAAATAATAGAATAGGGAATCATCCGGTACTGCCTCAGAACTAAAATGAACTTGAGAAACAAAAAAAAATATATCTCTCTGCAGTATAGAAGAGTAGAATATAATTTTCTTTAGCCAAGTTGGTTCTACAATGTTGATCTGAACTGGAACATTATTTGAAAGTGGATGATACTGTATTGTTCCAATTTCTAATGTAACAAAATCAACAAAGCACACACAAAAAAATCAGTATGTCATACAACTTCTATGCTAGTTAGAGATCGCAATTTGTATTCTGTTCTGGTGAATCTATAAGCACTAATTTTACAAAAATAGCATTTCATTAATGCTTCATATACAGTATTAGCTTTTAATTTGTAACAACTGGGAACTGAATACCTAGTTACTGGATACAACTGTCTCTCTGAAGGGAGAAGATCTCACAGAATATGTCATTGCACAAATTTCTGAGATATCTGTAAAAGTTTTCTTTGCTGTCTATTGTATGATTAATTAAAATTATCTTTATACCATTGTCTAATGTATTTTATATTTATTACGATAGAAATAATTTAACTTGATGAAGTTATCCTAAATTCAAAATATAATTTGTATATCCCTAAAATACCATTTCAGATCTAGTCCCTGTTATGCTGACAGTCTGATTCAACCATATACTTATATCACAATCATTTTCCAAAGAGTTGTCATTTCATATGCTGACTCAACTTGCTTTTTGCTGTTTTTGTCCCATGCAGCTACTCTTTCAGAATAAAACCGGTGACTGCACATATGGTACTGATCATCTAGATCAGGGTAGTCAACCTTGGCTCTTTTATGACTCGTGGACTTCAACTCCCAGAATTCCTGAGCCAGCACAGCTGGCTCAGGAATTCTGGGAGTTGAAGTCCACGAGTCATAAAAGAGCCAAGGTTGACTACCCCTGATCTAGATCATTCCTTCATTATAGCAGTTAGATGAGATATAGTAATGGACATACACCCATAGATAACAGTTATGTTAGCACAATACACTTATCAGTGGTTAACTAATTCATGATTTACTCAACCCAAAGTTTTAGCTTTGCACAATCCTAATGTGTTTATATGGGCTGCTATTATCCAACATGTTAACAAGTTGTGGCGACTAGTAAATTGTGTGTTGCAAGTTTGTGCCTAGCAACTTTATCTCCTACATAACCATTTTTAACAATTACTTCTCTGCCGTTACATTGCTATGAAGACCACTTTC